GGAATCGTGGAACTGTTCTTCCCAAGAGAGGTTAACTATTACAGCTATGAAATGCTTTGTGAACGTTAGCCAGCAGAAGTTATCTTGATCCAATTCTAGCCTGAAATGTGAATCTGTGCAATTAACCTTGACACTGCCCTTTCTGTAAGTGATATGGGGTACAAATTTCCGTTCCTTACTTGAGAACTGAAGTATTCTGAAGCCCTTCCAGAAGAGAATTCTACCCAGACACAAGTCGAAGGAAGAAAACTCAATGACTAAGAAAGATATCTGAGAACTAGAATAAAGTATGGCATTGTATGTGAGAGCACAAAGGCTCTTAATGAAATTGGAGCAGACTTAGCTGGGACAGGTTTTTCTATTTTTTATTTATTTTCATTGGCTTCTTCCTTTTGAGTTTGAGATGTTATCAAAGTTTATCGTATTAAACTCTGAAATAGGAGAAGGAAGCATTATCCTCATGGTTATGGAAGATGTAAGGCTCTTGAATTACCCAAGGTCAAAGAAATTTGTGAACTGCGGCTTGTCGTATTTTAACTGCTAAATCACTCTGCCTTAGAACAAGCCACAGCATATGGCAGTGCGTCTGTGTGGCAGGTTTTTGCAAGTGAAAGAACAGGGAAAACTCTTGGGAGAGCTGAAAGTCTGATGCTGAGGCAATCACAGATTGTTTTGTGAAACTTGCAGTCTTTTTTTATTCTCTTCATAAATTATATTTAGAACGCCTTATATAGTTCAGTATTTGTCACACATAAATCTAAGTATATTGGGAAATATGCTCTTAACTAATCATTTGCCTTTTCATTTGTGATAATCCATGCTTCATTGGAAATCTCAATGTGCACTGAGTTTCCATGCAGTCCTCCTCTTTTGTTGTACAGAAGACTTCTATATGGTCCTCTGAGGATACAGGACACCAGTAATTTTCTAAATATCAAATGATGCTACTGAGGTATATGAAAGTCACTATTTGTGTTTTGTTATAATTTTCACTAGGCCAGTGCAGTTCTTTATAGTTGGAATAACTTTCAAAGTTATTTCAATGAACTGAGAAAATATACAATAAAACTAGAGGATCAAGTGATTATGGCTGGTAATGGTGTTGTACGTTAGGCTAACAAAGTCTACATTAATCTGTTTTTGTTAGCTGATTTTTTTTTTTTTTTTTCCCTCAGTCGTATGGATAGAAATACATGTAGTTCTTTCTCAAGGAACCCATACCCCTATTCTTTTATAGCAAAGTTACAAAGGAGAGACATGTTTCAACTTACTTACACAACCAAAGCACTATATTCTTCAGAAGTAGCAATCATGAGAAAAATGTCTGTCCTACACATTTTATCCTCTGAAGTTTTATGTGCATGCTTCAGCAGGTCTTTCCATATGCATAAAGCAGAGAGAGGACAGCCTTTAAGAGTAAATTTTAAAGAGCAAGAGAATCAAAAGGGAGCACAATACCTGGAATATGAGATGTACTTTTTTCAATGACAGGTTAAATTTGACTGCAGTGTGATCACTAGAAGAAGCATTGCTTTCATGGGTCACCAATAGTCAATTTTATATTTCATAACAGTAGCAAATATGTGAAATAAGCTTAGTAGTAAAGGTGTGAGAAGTTGAATTCAAGCTTAGAATGATGAAAGAGGTAAGGTGAAAGGTGAGTTAAGTTTGTTGTGGCAATGAAGACGAGAAAGAATCAATGATGTAAATAAAAGTGGGCTGGATATGTAAATGGTGTACATGGTGAATGAGGATTTGCCTACAGGAACCTGTCCTGAGGGACTTAATGCTCCCCATGAGTTTGTCTTGTCTTAATGGATCATTCTTTCCATAATTTTCACTAAACAAAATAGTCGAATCAATTCACTATTTTATTGTTCAGCTGGTTTATGTTTGTTGGTATGTGTATAATTTCAATACTGAATGGAAATACTGTTCTGCATTCTTAACTGGATTATCCAAGAATACCAACATCAGCTTATAGTTTGGGTTTTTAGCTGCATCGTTTTCTTGCCTGTTGGTTAAATGAGGAATCTCTCCCTAGAATGTTTATTTCAATAAAATGTGATCAAGATAGTCTATTTCACCAGGAATGTATGAATAATTATCAGTAGAGAGAGACATCTAATAATTTGAGTCACAATCTAGATTACCTTGGGTAGTTTGTTACAGTGTGTGAATACGTGCGTCTGTGTAGGCTGATGCATCTACAGCTAAGGAGAAGTAATCTTTGGTTCTCTTTTTTGCACATTATTTTCATTGGTGTTCTGTTCTGTGAGAGCAAGAACACTCAGTAGCACTCTGCTGAAGCTCTCTGGCTTATCATGCGTTAGGTTCAAGGGCTCTCATTTGCACACCTCAGCTTCTGAGAGCTCAGTTGAACTGTACAAGTTCAGGGCAATGGTGGACTTAAAGCATGTCAACAATGAGGAGACCTTCAAAGTTTTCAGGGAGATTCAGATTAAATTTCTGTCAAAAGGAAGGGCTTTGATTTGTTTTTAAAGGAAAAACTAAAAGGATGTGGAAGACTTGAGAGTAGAAAAATGCTAAACTGATTATATTTTAAGATGTTTGAGATGGAAAATGGAGTCCAATACATAAACACAGATTTAAAGGATATTAAAAAAATGAACAAAGGTGTCTAATGGAGTTAAGCTAATCAATAACTGGTTCTTTAAATACGCGCCATACGGAATAAACAGAAAGTAAAGAAAGCATTGATCCGAATGTCTTGAAAGCTAGTGACATGACAGGGATTAAACAGTCTACACAAAAGACTTAAATCTTCACATAGTGGTTTGGGCAGGATAATATTGTCCAGTCTCTGATGTGCTTTTATCTTGGTAAAATGTATTCTAAAGCATCTTTAACAAGACAGTGATAGCTATTCAGAACTGATGAAAGACCATGGACATATGAAATTCATAGTTTCAACAAAACAACAAAAGCAATAAAGTTTTTAATGGACACCTAAGTTGACAGAAAAGCAAAAGTAGGTCTTTTTTTCACAAGGCTTACATCTGTTTCTTTTTAATTATATGCAATGTCTGAGTGAAATTACTGTTTGTAAGTATGTATGTTTTATTTGTGATCTTAGGCAGAACGTGCTGAAATTGGTATTGAGTGAGAATAGATTGACAGTTGTGAAGCTGAATAATCCCTTAACTATTTGCAGTGTGTTCACCCTGACAAAGTGATTTGAAATGCATAAGATCAGTCCTATGAGCATTGTAGTGGAAATGGAAGGTGGATAGCTCTGTATTTATGCACTGTAGTGAAAAACAAAGAACAAGAAGCCCCAAATCCGTAGTTGGTTGCTATAGGAATTTACTGTCTAGATCCAAATTATATTCATGCTGTAAGGAATGGGACTAAAGCTCTGATGAAATCTATTTTATTGCTATATTACCAATGTTTTCTAATGGATTACATTTCTGGCTATGTTTCAGACTTCCTAGGTTACTATATTTGCTTCTTGTTATGTTTAAAACAGTACCATAACTGTACAACATCTAGAATTTCAAAACTAAATGAGGAAGAAAAGTCAACAGGAGCTGAGGATGTTTTGCATCTTAGAAATGAGTTCTTAATCACTATACTATTCTTTGAGTGAGCAAGTAAAGAAGTAATTAAGAAACAAATGTTTGCTACTTGTAATTTTTTTTTTGAAACAGCTAATGATAGGGAAATTGGAGTTTCGCTAGAGACAAATTGTTCTTGAAAAATCCAAATGTTTAGAAATGGCAATGGAGTAGTCTGTGTATTTTTTGCTTGGGTAATAAATAATTAGCACTGATGAGGACACTGTACGTAGTATTTAGTCATTGTAATAAATACAGTATTTTACTGAAGTTCCAGTTAGATTATGATTTTTCCAATATTTGCCCAGTTTAATCTTGTTGTCATACATTCTTTCTTCTTAGAACCCTGAGCCTTGCAGACTTAGAATGTGGAGTTGCTGTAAACCCACTTAACACATGAGTCTGGTATCTATGTTTACAGAGGTTCTGCACTGAAGATCTCTGACTTAGAAAGGAAACGTAGCTTTGCCAGTGTACTGAGCTTGTACTGTGCTTTGATAATCCTCCATGTTGGTTTTCTACCTCAAACTCATGAATGAAAAGATTATTTTATGTGCTATATGTTTTGGAAAAGTGACCCTAAAACAACAATCTTATAACAGTTTGTACTATAGAAGTGGTAGAATTAATAAAAATATAATAGAATATTTAGGAGCTCTTGATAAATTCAGTGTGTGAAACTCCATTTGCCCATCAGCTTCTGTCTGTAGTCATGAATGAGATCTTTCTCTTGTTTTCTTAGCTTTTTTCTTCTTTTTTTTTTTTTTTTTAAATTCATTCTGTTCCTGTTTTGAAATCAATTGGTAGGTGATGAGATTTATTAACGAAATTACTTCAGAAAATTAAGATTTCCAGGATGCATTGTGACATAATAGTCTTTGGAATCCAAAGTTGGTTGAATTAATTTTTTCACTATATAAGAATAACCATGCTATCAGAAAAGAAAAACAAAAACAAAAACAAAAACAAAAACAAAAAAAAAAACTGACATTTTTCTGGTAGCTAAAAATGAACTCCCGAGTCTTGTGGGACTTTGGGAGAGCTCTGATGGATCTTGCCTTAAGCCAGTTAAGCTCCATGGTTGTAGGGCTCTTTATTCCACTGACAGTGGAAGCATGATCTTCTAAAAAGTGGGAAAGGGGCATGTAGGGCAAAGAAAATGTTAAACTTCCCCGATTTTTATGTTTATGTATCTTTGAATGTGTTTGGCGACCATTTTGTAAAACTTTCCTAGGAGACCACACCTCTACGAGATGAGAGGTTCAGAGAAACGTTCATTCTGTTGAGGAACTGGACAACTCAGAACTCCAAAATCTCACATATTTGTCCATCACTGGTGAAACCATGTTGTACAGAAATCCACTTTTTACAAGTACTGTTTTCTGATGCCTTCATAATTCTCAATTTTGCTGTTTACAGAGAGCGAAGAAATTTACCAGCGCCAGGTGCTGTCTATTTCCTGTATCGTCTTTGGCATAGTCGTAGTGGGCATGCTTTGTGCAGCGTTCTACTTCAAAACAAAGTAAGAGCCTTTGTCTAGTGTGTTTGTTTTTCAGCTTCTGTCCATTTTACGGCTTTCCAGTTCTTCAGTTTCTCCCCTCTGTTTGAAGGTGTTGTTATTTCCAGGCAGGTTAGAACAGTTCTCCATGGCTAGAATATCTAAGTGAAAACAAAACAAAACAAAACAAAAAGCCATGCACACAAACAACAAGTATTACATGTCCTTTCTGTTTTCCTATACCAGGAAAGAGGAGATTGTGTCCCTTGTATTCCTTTCTCTGGACAATAATTGGCATTAATCACTTCCTTATTTTGAAAACAAAAGGTTTATGATACCTTTTTTTAATTTTTGTTCTGCATTTTGTTTTCCTTAATGTCCCTCTTTTTTCTGTATGCTGGGAATAAAGGCAAAAGTTAGCAATGTGTGAACAGTCGAGTTCCTTGTGGATAACTGCAGCCATTAGCTGAGAGTTGTAAACTGATGATGTGAGCTGCATAACTGAGTATTTCTAGTTCACAAGGATGTGGAACTGTATAACTAAGGTAGAATCATCTGTACTAAACTTTTTTCAAGCAAAATACTTTTCATTTTATTTTTCTTTATCTCCTCCACTGGACATTATCTTTAATATTTATTGCTGTGTGTGTAATTTGACTACACAAACCTCATGGCAATTACATGATGTGCTTGTTAACGCCACTACATTTATAAATATGTTCTGTATGGCCATCATCCTTCATTGCTGTTCAAACTAGAGCTAATGAGAAAACATGCATCAATATAAATATTATCTGCATGAGGATAGCCATGGTGGCTGAGTATTAAGAATGTGGAGGTTTCTACAGTTTAGAAGTTAGATGCTTATCTGAATACACACAGACCATAAATTTATTTTAATGGGAAGGAAATCTGATGAAAACTACTTTCTGCAGGAAAAAAATAATGTTTCGAGCTTTCTCTCAGGAAAAGGAGAAATGCACACTGGAAAAATCACCAGACCTTTTTATTTTTTTCCCCTTTCTGCACAAATTTCAGCACTACTGTGCACATGATTTGAGTGAAGACTTGGACCTGGTTCATTTTTTTCTAACCCCCCTTACCTGTTCTAATGACTTAAGGGATTCTATTTAACTGTTCTTTCGAGCTAGAGTCTGACAGGAACATAAACCAAGGGGATTCTGTGGTGGGGCAGCTATTTTTAAAAATAATGAGTAGAAATAATGCATCAAAGTTGCACTCAGAGGACTGTAGTGGTTCCTATCTCAGGTTTGTGTTTTATTATTGGTTTTAACTGATAGTTAGGAGTTACTGAGAAGAATTGAAGTGTACTTATGCCAGATTCTGGAATCTGAAATTTGAGAAGTATTGAGAAAATGAGCACCTTCAGTTCTGTCAAGAGGTCCTTTCAAACATAGGAAGCACAGCAGTGTTAGCATACTAATCCCTAAGTGCCTGATTGTGGTCCCATCTTGCAAACTGTCCAGAAAGTAAGCCTATTCACTGCTTTGTCCCTGCCTTCACAGGAAGTTAGCATGCCTGTTTGTTGTCTAGATAACCGAATCTATGACGACCAGGCAGGTGAGGTAGTAGAGTTTGCCCAATCTAAGGCAGGAGATGGGAATGCTGTGGCTATGCAGAAATAGCTGGAGTTGTCAAAAGCTATAGAAGTTAAGTAACACTGCAATTTCTCTTGCCTTTCAAATTGATTTCTTAAATGTTTTCACTGCTCATGAGGTTTTTTCCCCTTTTGTTATTAGCACCATTCCCACAAAAGCCTGGAAAGAGTCAGTAACTAATTATCAGTCTGCATGTTGTTTTTCTGCTAATGCCTTGACTCAAACTTCAGCAGGTGACCATGGTTGCATACCAGGCTCACCTCAGTACAGGTCAGCCTGGGACACTCCCTTTAAAAGCATGATTCCAAGTCAGTGGAGACTAAGGAAAACATTTTGTCCATCCCTCTTGATCTGAACACCCATGTGAAGCTCCTGGCCCACACAAGAGTGCCTGAACTGGGTTGCATGGAGGCCGCATAAAACATTATTGTATCTGTGATGCTGCCCAGTGTCTCAAGGGTATAAAAGTGAAGTTAAGGCTGAAGCAGCAAAGTTAAAATGAATCAACCATGATGTGTGTTAGCACAACGGATTTTCAGATCTTTTCATCATGCAGACATGTCTCCATCATGCTTGCAGGTTATCCAAGCATTCCTCCTGTCTGGGGGATGATCTTCTTGTTTAACTTTTATCAAATATTACTTAACATCTAGGGAAACTGAATGGTGCACAATCTGGCAGGGAAAAGGAAGTTTATTTGAAGAAGCAGACCCTGACTTCTTCATTCTGATGTTTGTATAATACCTGCTGCTAGATGTATGTGATTTGCTATACACTGTATTAAAAATCCTTTAAAATATACTCTCTCTGGGCAAGTTAGAACTTTATAACTAAACACTATACCCTTCCAATTTTTCATTTCACAGTAGTAAAGAAATTACTCTTAAGTGTTAACAACAGAGGGGAGACCACAGTAAAAAGCAATGGGCTTCTCTTTATGGCTTAGGATTTTATAGATGACCAGTGACTTCATTTTCTTGCCAAGATAATACTTTATTGCAGAATATCTGTGAAGTAAAACACAGAAGACTCATTTGTTTTAAAGACTAAAAATACGAAATAAATATATTAAGCAGTAACTTTAAATTATTAATTTCAAGTTTTATAATCCTGCATCCTATTTTTTGGCAAAATGAATATGCATAAACCTAACATCAGCGTTAGGTTACATGAACATTAAAGGGAAACTAATTATTAAATTGTTTTTCTTTGTATATTACCTTATAGAATTTCAGTTGTGATGTTAAAAATCACTCGCTGCCTGCTGAAATTTGGCTCAGCATCAGCTGCTGTACAGAAGCTGTGCATAGCACAGCGAAGCAGGGCTGCTGCTGCTGGCCAGTCCTTGACCTTGCTGGGTGGGCTCTAGGGTCTTTGTAGGATTGCTGCATGCAGTTCATCTGCTGAGGAGAATAAGGCAGGAAGGAAAGAATTAAACTAGCAGTGGGGACTTATTTCTCGTTTAGAACTCCAACAGTGTATCTTTCCAAAAGAGCAGTCTCCGGTTAAAGGCCTCAAATATATTCTGCTGACTGTATTTGCTTAACTGAGCTTTATCTGCTGGCAGAGGATAAAATACTTCCTTAAAATAGAGCTTTCTGCCTGAAATCCACAATAATGTGTAGAACTTTAGAACTCAGTTTGTCAATATAATACGGCAGAAAGAGAAAGCTGTTTTTAATCATATAGTTATCTCTTGAATATTGCAAATGACTTGTCTTAGAGGCATTGTCAGCTGTGACATAGTGGATCATAGTGTAATATGTCAAAAGTAGCCTCAGATACACTATTGATGCTTTTTTCCAGATTAAAGCATGTAAGCAAAAGCTGATGTATGCAAGATAGTAGGTGAAGTCTAATGAGCTGCTAGCAGAAATGTTTGATTCTGTCACACATTTTATAACAAACAGAGACAAATGCTGCTGTATTTGCCAAAATCTCTGTTCCAAATCTGAGCAAAATGCTTTTTTAATATCCAGGCCTACTTGCAATTGTTAAATATGTTGTAGGTAATCTTTCTTTCAAATTTCTGTGCTAAAACAGCCAGCCTGCTATTGTAGTAATCTGAGAATAGAAGACATTTTTGAGAGAAGAGCTCTTTTCTTCTTTTGTTCAGCTTCTCCAGAAAATGACCACTGCATTGAAATATTAGACACTGGTGAATTAATGCAGCTGGTTATTCCAATGTGGTGAAGTTTGGAAAAAAAGGACATCGTGGCTATAGTAGGAGTTGAAACTAGCTCGCTCTTACATGAATTTTATTTCTTTCTGCAGGAAACAAACAAAGCAAATTCATGAACAGCTGAAAGAAACGCAGAATAGGAAAACCTACAGCCTAAATGCTTCTAGCATGATGGCAAAGTCAGAGTGTATGGCACAAAGCCGAGTCCAGCTGCAAAATGTAAGTAATCCTGCCAGCTACAACATTTAATAGCCTGGCTGCATTCCTGCCGCTTATAGCAGAACATCACCATGTTGCTATTAGCATCTGAGCAATGGGAACAAGAATTCTCTCATCTTTCATAACTTTTTTTTTTTTTTTTTTTTTTTATCAGGACAGTTAATGGAAAACACCAAGCAGGGATTTTTTTAAGAGTTATTTCAATGGGCCGTGGGGCATTTTGCTCCTGCAGTAGAGTTTGCTGAGCCCCCTAGTAATGTATTCAACACTGAAAGTGTCTATCTGAGCATTTCCCTGTACCTTAGCTCACAAGTATGGTTTATAGGTGAAGTGGGGGACTTAAATCTTGAATGATTTTTAATTTTTCAGTACAGCACATTAATGGATCTGAGGGAAAAAATGTAGAGATGAGGCACAGTTAATTCAGAGTAAATTCAGAACCTAGACCTAAACTTAGGCATGCTAACTAGTGCCCAAGGTAGGCAGTTCAGATGGTGTCGTTTGCCTGGCTCTTGAGTTAAACAAAGGGGCTTCTGATAGTAGAAAGCAATCTGTTCAAACTATGTTTGAAATGTATTTAGTCATGTTCTGAATATAGTTATATGTGAGTTAATAGAATCCCACAGTGATGAAATATGTAGTTAATTTTAAACAAGGAAGTGGAAGACAACTGATATATTTAGCCCATGATGCACATTATTTTCTAATGCATGCTGTTTTCGTCCTCCCATTCATACACATTTGGTGCTTTGAAACAACTGAAAATGATGTTGTTAGCAAGGCCAAAATTGGAGTATTACAGGAGACAGTGAGAGGTGTATCAAATCCTTTCTAAATGGTAAATTCTTATAAACAAATGAAAATCTCAACTTGAGTATTAATATCAAGCAAAGTGTCATCAGCTTTGTTTCAAGGAACTACTCTGTTTGCCAGATTCCATCAAAATAATGGGAGTCAAGCAAAAGTGAGCTCTCAAGCCCTCTTAGCCACAGATGTCTCTGTTCCTGATTTACATCAAATGAAAGCCCTTTTAAGCAGTCTGGAGTGAGCTGAGCCTCTGTGCTGTGACAGAAGAGCGTGTGTTAGAGCACTGGTCACCAGAGGTTTTTTTTTTTTAGGAGCCCTGTTGTGATGGTTGTTACGTTTTGTGATTCAGGTAAAATTCACTGTATCAAAGGGGAAAGTAGCTTCACTAAATGGACACTGACAGTTTAGGAGGCCTTCCGTAGTTCCTTGTTTAAATTTAATTTAATTCAGCCATATTTTACTTCTTGCCCTTAAAACAAGCTGTTAGGAGTGTTGCTGCCTTGTGATGGTGACAACAAATGTTAAATTCGCGAAAAGCTTTTGTGATTCTTTTGTTCTAACATGAAAACTGGGTTGTGGTTAACACACTTTTTTTCACTCTTTTTCTCTGTAATTCAGAACCTAGACCTAAACTGAGGCATGCTAACTAGTGCCCAAGGTAGGCAGTTCAGATGCTGTCGTTTGCCTGGCTCTTGAATTAAACAAATGTTTGTGCAATATTTTCTCAACCTGTCATCACAAAGAACTATTTGGTGTCCTGTCAGCATCTGACGAACACATCCTCAAGCTTTAAGTCATTTTCTTTTGCCATAACAATAGCTATAATGACTGAGCAGCCGTTTGTGGATTCCAAATATTAGAGATTTAAAGACATGATTATTCTTTATTTTAGGCCAGATTTGTTTTTCTGCTTTTAATGCTGTTCAAACTAAAGCTCTCAGTGCTGGTAATTAACACACCATTTTCTAGTTCCTGTAGCAACTAGAAGGGAGCAGTTTTATCCTTGCTATTAGTGCATTTTTCCTCTGGGAGCAAAAATACTAAGAAAGAAATGCAGAATGACCTTGTGCAGTATGTAGTGTAACTGTGCAGGACAAGAATGGTTTCTATTGTTAGAAAGATTTTAGTGCAGGAATGCAAGTAGGCAGTTAATGAAATATTTACAAATCTTGGCAGATTGGAGAAAAGGAAAACCAGGGGAGGGGGAGGAATTGACGAGAGAGCAGATAAGGACTTTGAAATGGTATTGCTTAGGAGTGTCTGCGTGTCTCAGGAATCTGCCCTGTGTGTATCTGCAGGGTAAGGCAGAGACCAGGTGCTGGTGGGCAGCTTCCTGGGGCTCACTTCTGTAGAGGTGCTGCAGTCACTCTGGAGGTGATTTCTGTGAGGTTCCCATCTGCAGCACCCCATGGATTTGGGGAGAAACCTTGGTTCTACATATTTCCAGGGATGAATACAGAAACTTAAGAAAATGAAGGATGTTATTTCAGGGGTTTTGCTTTATGAAATCCTATCAACCTCATTTTTCCTAATCCATGTCCTCCTCTTATATGGGAAATCTGTCTTGCTTATGTTCTGTCCTCCTTGCTTTCCCTGAAAGGTTCTCCCTTATTTTTCTACTTCCTATTCATAATAGACCTAGTGATGCTTTCACTTTTTTTTTTTTTTTAGCCTGCTTTTATTCTCTGTATTAGTTCAAACCTGAAAACAGCTGCATAGCGTTCCTGATCCTTTCTTTATTCCTTTTCCTTTCTTCCTATGAAGAAAGGTTGAGAAAACTGGGCTTGTTTAGCATGGAGAAGAGAAGGCTCTGGGGAGACCTCATTGTGGCCTTTCAGTACTTGAAGGGAACATATAAAGAGGAGGGGGAACAGCTATTTATGAAGGTGGATTGTGATACAACAAGGGGGAATGGTTTTAAACTGAGACGGGAGGTTTAGGTTAGATATTAGGAGGAAGTTTTTCACCCAGAGGGTGGTGAGGCACTGGAACAGGTTGCCCAAGGAGGTTGTGGATGCCCCATCCATGGAGGCATTCAAGGCCAGGCTGGATGTGGCTCTGGGCAGCCTGGTCTGCTCGTTGGTGACCCTGCACATAGCAGGGCTTTGAAACTAGCTTGTCATTCTATGAATCTACAATTATTCTTGATGACAATTCTAATGCCTATTCGAAAAGAGCCCTTGCATTTGAACGCAGAGGTTACTGCATTTACTAATGGATGCACAGATCTTTCCAAACGTTGCACTTCTCTAGGAGGAAGCTTTATGTGTAGCAGGTAGTGTTTCAAGTGCTTTGGGGCATTAAAGAACTCGACCAAACTCCGTGAAGTGCTATCATTTCATTATTTCTTTTTCCCTTTTTACCTTTCACTGGACTTCAGCAAAAGACTTAATTGTTGTTAATTAGTTTGAAAGTCAGTTTTGAATCTCTTTAAATGAGAGAATCTATGTAAATGCATCAGGATTGCTGTTAAAAGCAGGGAGAAAAAAAAAAAAAAAAAAAAAAACAACCAGATTTCATTTTTTGAACAAATTATTAAAATTATAAATTTACATTTTATTCTGGTTTTACTCTTTATTTTTGTAGCTGTTTGGATTGCTGCAAAAGGGAATGCAAAAAAAACTTTTGTCCCTGTGATACCTCACCTCTATGCTAATTTAAGCTTCTTTACTATAAAAACTATGCACAATGCTAAAAGCTCCGAATGTTTGATCTTAAAACGTTTCTCCTGTTCTGTCCTAAGATATGGGCTGCCTTGTTTGGCAATCCTTATTTCAAAAGCCAGTATTTGAAAAATGAATTGGAAGTGGACCTTCCCCCAGGTTCATTAAACATCCATATGGTGGAAAGGTTGCTCTTGCTCTTTTTAAGGAAATTGGATCAGCTATTCAAGTCAAACAACAGAGTAGTCAGGAAAAAAAAAAAAATGGAGGTGGGTGGCTATAAAAAGGAGTTTTTTTGGAATTGGCTTACTTTAAGAAGTTGCAGTCTTTTGTTTCATTTTGCCCATTCTCTGAGCAGTACAATAAAAACAGGTGAGGAAGAGTGGCGGCCATATCTTGACATAGTATAGGTCAAGCAGCGTGAGTAGTGTTAAAGCCTTTGTGACAGCTGCTAGGTGGTCTCTGCTACAGTGAGGTGTAGATGTGGCTTTATGCTCCTTCTCATTAACTGTTTATTGAAAGCATTCCCAGAAAGTCTTTGAGGAACAGAAAGTATATGAACTGGTAAAAGTCTGCAGCAACTGTACTTCAAGAGCTCTGGTAAACACTAGGAGCATACTATTCAGATTTTTGGACCCACTAACAAGTATCCTGAATGAATGATGCCGGAATACAGTGCTACAAAAATGTTGGGAAAGAATAGGCCCATCTGGTGAAGACCACAAGCTTGCAGTCAGGTTCCAGGTTGAGTGCTGTTCCTCAGCCAAGCATGAACCGTTTACAGGTCGTTCCATCTTCTAGCAGCACAGTTAGTCCTTTTTAGTGAGGAGAGCTACTGCAACCACATTCATATCCAACAGCTGGCATTGGGACTGCCCAAATACTGCCCAAATAATTCATTGTAAGCATAAACAAAGTAGAAAGCATCTGAGGAGTTTGGGTTTGCTATTCTATCAATTCTAACCAGCTTGAACTACTCATGAAACGATTTAGCTCTTTGTAAAGCCAACCAATGGCTCTTTAACGTGAACATGTACAAACTCACCCTCCTTGGCTGGCACCAGGGTTGAGGAAGAATGCAAGGAGTTTTAGAGGTTTAAGCCAAAATGTAGATGTCTCCCTGCCACTGGATTACAGTGTTACAGGGAATAAAGCTTTCTGTTTGTATTGACATCTGAAATATTTTGAAGCATCATATGCTTTCCTTCCTGCATTTGAATCTATTACATTTCTTCCACTTCCTTTCTCAGTTCAGTTGTGATTCTGTGAATTCCTACTGTTCAGAGCTGGTAATTGTGTTCACCTGGGCTCTCAGTATTGATTCCATCATGCAATAAAGGACACCAATTAGATAAATAATACAGTATTCTGTAAGCAGGATTCATAAACAACAGTTTGAACAGAGCTATTAGCCTATTAGTATTTCTCTGCAATTTCCTTCAAGGATACTCCTTTTCCCAAATAATTTTACAGCAATGTGCAATTTCTTTCTAGGTTGTCAGAGAGCTTGAATTTGGATAACTGTTTTCACATTTTGCTTGACAAAAGTTCAGGCTCCTGTCTCCTATATTCTTTTTGTAGTTACTCCATTTTCTGTACACCATTTTTCTTCTTTATGAATGCAAATGTACTGATAATCTTGCAATAAGTCTTCAGACAGGAAGAGGGTTATGTGGGAGTTCGTAATGGAGGATCTTTGAGTTACACAGGAGATTAAGATATATTTTACCATGTGCATGAAGCTTGGGACTTCCTACTATTACCTATATCTTCCCAAAGAGATTATATAATCTTTGAGAGATATTTACTGAATGTGGTCCACAAGACTGCAGCAAATGGTTCCATGTCGTCATACACAAGCAAGTCAGGATGCTCAGCTGCACTTCTTAGGCAAACGCTCTCTGCACCCTATGCACCACCCACAGGCAGGAGGATGTGTCCCAGTTGCACTTATGTTACTCTGCAGATCACCAAGCTTGGTGTCTCCTGGTGTTTACTGCCTCCTTTCTACACCTTGATTACAGAATTTCTTTAAATTTTCTTAGCTTTAGAACACCAGCAACAAAAGCAGCAGCAGACTTGCCATTACTTTTGTGATTCTGACAGTTGGCATGGTTGTTTAAAATAGGTTTTTTCATCCTTATGGCATTTAATACCTTCTCCTGTGATACTAAGTGGATCTATTAATTCCCCATCACATCCCCTCTGAGGTGCCTAATATGCTTTTCATGCTGTAGCATGTGCTTTCACTTCTCGCTACACTTGTTCCTAGCAGCTTGCAATCACAAGCTTCTGATACTATAACAAGAGGACAAAGTTTCTTTTTGTGACTTGTTGATGCTTGTTGATACCATATAGTAAATAAACCTAATCACTGTGATAGAAATGCAATCAATATATGTTGAATACTAGACAAAGGCATTTAGCTCTTTTCAAAGATGAGCATGTATTTTTATCTGAGTTGCGATGTGATTTATCAGCTAAGATCAGGACCAGATTTCCCAGTTCAGTAACTTTTCACAACTTCGGAAGAACTGCCATAATAGAGAAACTTGAGCTTGCTGGCCTCTGTCTAGAGTGCTGGTGGCAGAGCACAGGGAGTAGCTGTAAGGATGCTCAGTATTCCAGCAGATAGGCTGGTGGAGCAAGGCCAGCCCTTCCAAACGTGGCATTAGTTCTTCACTTCTCTGAATGTAATGCAAATCTGATACTCTCTGCCTTCCCAGTCCTTTTTGAAATGGCAACCCCACATCACCTCTCTTTCAATGCAGATGCAAATCTGAACTTTATTTTTTTCTTACTATTTGAGAGATATCCATCAAGGAGAAAGAGATGGAGGGGGTTGTTCTGTTTTGCTTAACCATAGGACAACAGTGTCTGGCTATTGTATAGCACTTATGAGGCATTTGTCACCTGTGGATCCTAAATTTAAGAAAGAATAATCGGAGGCATCAGGCAGGGAAATACTCGCAGTGATACAGCAGGTCAGTGGCAGAGGGTGACTTCTTGCAGACTCATTTAGCATTAGCTAGTAGTGGGTGAGATTTTACTGTCAAAGAGTTAGAGTAATTGCACATAACAGATGATTTTCTCTGTGAAACCATGAAGAAATTGAACTTTGCAAAACGTTTTATTTTTAAATGCTTTAATTATTCTTTATTTTATTTAGCCTTATACATGAACGTTTCTTTTATGTCAGCTCAAAGAAGCATGCATAATTAACCAAAAAGACAATAAAACCATTGAAAAACAAAACAGAACCACCAGAGACAGATGAGATTTCAGAGGATGCTTTCAACCTCCCAGTACAGTACTCTGACAGTGCTTCACAGCTTACCCCCTGCAGTGGCTAAGTGTTTAGCAGCTCACAGCGAGCAGAGGGCTCTGTAGTTTGCAGCTTGGCTGACAGCTGGGGGCAATGGGGCTGTTTCCACTGGGACACAGCGGGGTGGCAGGTCCCCCATCCCACTCTGGGAGCTCTGCTAGATGCTGCTGTAAACTTCTCCCAGGATTCTGATTTTTTCCTCCAAAGGCTGTCTCAGAGAAGGGATGTGGCATTTATGGTTAAGCTATAAAGGAGTAAACCCAACTGTGTTTAATTCTATGAATGTGCTACAACTAAATAAAATTGATTCTGTTGATCGTTCAAATTCTCTGTATATTTGCACCCTCAGTTGAAATTGTGATATCAGTGTAATTGACATTGTGGTTGTTGTGATAATTAGTGAGCGATGGATCTGGAAATGTCATGAAATAAATATTTGATTAAGAAGGAAGAGCCAAACTGAGCCTGGGCAGTAAATATTTGGGATTGCATTGGGCAGCTCATGGGGGGACCCTGTTCTTCCTCAACTGTGATGAGCAAAGATGCTCTTGTGTGTGTGATCCCCCCCAGCCCATGTTCACTTTAACCATAGATGTGGTGAGAGGCATAGCTCATCCCTGCTTAACCTCTGTGATTCACTTCATGCTCGTGATCCTTTAAAGCCATTTGGGTCTTCAATTTAATATCACAAACAAACATGAAAAAGGACAGAAATACCTTCCTAATGCGTACAACTCATTCTTCCCATGGCTCAAATTGATTTATTCAGGTCAGAAATCAGTGTCATTGCTGCAGCTGGCAGAAGAAACATTAAAGTTTAAAACTGTCACAAACATGAGCACCTTAAAAGACATGCTTCCATCTGAATGCTTCATCTACAGTAGTGACAAATGACAGTTAAGATCATTGTAACCGGAAGAAAAACAAGTGGAATATGTTTCTTCTTATTATTTCAGTTGTGTTTAGTTTGTGTGCAGTAGCATTTTACATATTGCCACTTTCTCAGCTTTGCCTTCCAACACCCTGAAGCAGTTATTTTGGCCCCTTTCCTGTGGGTATTTCGCACAACAGGAAGAGAGGGAAGAGATAACTTAAGAGAAAAATTGAAAGATTTGTTGTGGGTTTTTTTTCATCAACAGAAAATTGGTCACAAGCAGTTCAAGACGTTCTGTGAACGTGCTCTGAAACTGGTTAGAAGAGAGTAGTCTTGTGAGACTTTCCTTTTTAGTTTTGCTAAACTCTTGGGAAATGTAGATAATTATAATAAAGGGGAATCAGGAAATAACTCCTCCTTTTTAAGGAGTTCTCACCTGATCTTTTGTTAGACAACAAAATAATTATGGGGAAGAACTGTACCATGACAGAAATCTTACTGTCTCCTTCACAAATGATTATGCTGTTGTAAAATTGCAAGGCATTTATTTTACCACTGTATTTTATATAATATACATTATATTTTTACCTAAAATATTTAATCATGTAATAGATCCCACGGTACCAGCTTATTGTCAAGGTAACCTAGCTACCTAGTACTAAAAGTACAAATTCTATGCAGAGAGAAAAGGATTGAAGAAGAATAGACCAATTGGGTTTAGTGCAGTTTATCTCAGCACAACGTCAGAAATGTTATCTTTCTTTTCTGTTTCTTTTTCTGCTATTTTTCTTAACTATGTGTAAATGTGGGTTAAGTGCTTGTACCTCTGAGTTACTGTCCAGTAGCTGCTAACATTGATTCTTCTTTCAAACCAAAATGCACCCTTTTTATGCTTTGACTTCCAGGCTCTATTCAGAGTCAGAGTTGGTTTTTTTTTGTTTTTTTGTTGTTTTTTTTTTGCTGAATTTCCAGATGAATCACAAAGCAAAAAGAGGAAAATCCATTCCTGTTCACATCCGGTGTCTGCTTTACAGACCTTTGTGTCACGCTGTGTGCCCAGAGGTTGCCCTGCACACACAACTGTCCCAAGAAGAATTATGTTTACACTGATACTACTAGCACAGATACTCCCAGGTCAGAAGTTTCAGGTGCAGCAGGGTTGTCTGGCTCTACAGATAGGATTCAAGTGTTTTTCTTACTTATCTGATGATACAAAAGCTATTCAGTGTGGTGTTCCTAGTTATGCATATTGATGAGGGGAGTGTTTGACTGAAATCATCAAAGGACACAAAAAGGTGCTGAATGCCATCTGAGATGTGTTTTGTGATCTCAGGCACTGCATGGACAGTCACAAAAGCAAGTTTTTATTCAAAGGGGTCTGCATTCCCTTTTGTTTTGGGCAGATCAGTCAGTAATTTTGCTGCCAATGTGGACTTTGGGTTTTTGATGTGCAGAAGGTAATGGGGACAACAAACCTGGGTGCTCTTCACTTGTGTAAACAGCAGTGAATGGATGTATTACTTGCCCTTCCTGATTTTAATTTTTAAATTAAAGTACTTCTTATTAATTTCAGTTCTCACTGAATAACATCAGCAATGTATTTTGCATTTTATGTATTAATTCATTTTATTCTCTGTGCCACAGTACTCCAAAACAGATAGGCATCCTGGGCCTGCTCTGGACAAAGTCATGGAGTCCAGCTTTTCAGGTCCTCAGTCTTTCCCAGAGGCTTTGTCTCCTGACAGAGGAACTCAGCCCATCAAGCAGCACAGGTGAGCAAACAGCTATCAGGGGGACAGGGTGGTGGAAGCTGAGGGATGCTGCTAGGGGGGTGACAGATGGGTAGGAGGACTGGGCAAGAATGCTGAGAGATATGGAGGACCATAGTGTGCTAGCAGAGGATTGCATGAGGTGATAACTTAACTTCTGTGGTGTTTTGTGTAAAGCCAAGAGGACATTTGTTGCAGTCCCCCAGTCATGTTCCTTCTCTTTCGTTTGGAAGATTGGCTAAACCAACAACAGTGTTCCATATAAACCAGGAAGGGATATTTGAATCCTACTTACATTATCTTACTTAAACCTTTAATTTGGAATGAAAAAGTAATGCCAACTGTTACATCAGATGCTTTTCTTTGGGTTTATTCCTTATTCTCTGCAGATTTTCAATACATGCATAATAATTTTACTAAGTGTGGATGCACTATGTTGCCCAGAATCATTCCCACTTCAAGTTCTGTGGATATTTTAATCCCAATTTAATCAAAAGGTGAAGCTTAGAAAAAATACGGTGACATTCACTTGCTCTTGATAACAGGGTTGCAACAGCCCGATTTGAAATTGTTTAGGTGCTGAATTACTACGTTATTAAGCTTTAAAATGTGGAAATAAGAACTGAATATTTCTTGTATACAAGGTTCTTAAAACAAGAACTGAATGATGCTAAACTCGCTGTCTTCCATATGGAAATTACAGACTAAGCCACACTGAACTTTTAGTAAATTAATGCAGAATTCCAAAGCACTCACTTGAACACATTCATGCACCAAAACCTCTCTTTATAAAGGGGAAAAAACCCTACATTATTTCAGGTGTCAAGCATTGGGCTCCATTAAGAGTCTTTGCCTCAGAACTGTTTTAAGACAGCTTGATTTATAACAAATTCTTTTTCATAATTTTATAACTTAAGATTCATTATACAAGGGCCTTGCTTTATAAAAAATGCAACAGACTTTAACATGCCAATGACTTACAAGACTGTCTTTGATTTATACATCGTGTGGCAGCTTCCTAAGTCACTCAGTTTCTGTAGTTTCTAAATATTGTGCAGTATGAAGTTTTTTTTCTCCATTTCATTTGGTGTCTTTTTGTAATGTCTGTCTAATTAATGACAGTCTAGGTACAATTAGCCCTTGTTTCTGTATATAAAATATAGATGAGAAAAATGAAGCTTATTTTTTCTTTTTTTTAAACAAGGATGCATTTTGCTCTAAGCATCCCCTCATTCCATTACATTGAGTTGCAGTGACGCAGATCTAAAGTGGTTCTAGCTGAAGTTCTTGGTCTCCCTAAAATGAACAGTTAGACAAAAATAGAGTGGTGTCTTGTCTTCAAAACTTGACATGGACCTGGAAATATTAGAGCAGCTCTGTTGGGTCTCATTTTATGCAATTGTTAAACTGTCTATTCTTTTTCTGTTCACCATGGAAATATTTTGTTCCACAACTATACCCGCTTTCTCTATTTGCGTTTTCAAGGGCATTAATGGCTGGCAATTATTTCGTAAAATCAGTAGCTGTCTGCTCAACAGTTTCTAAGAACAAAAGAAATTTTTCCTGGCTTTAGGACTATCAGAGCAGGAAATCATTCTGGCTTGCTGAAATTTGGCTTACAGAGAAGAGATCGCCTAGTTATTTCACTAAGATTACTGGATAATAAGTTTTCTCACTCTGCCAACCTCAGCTGAATACAAAGAATTGATATAAAGATGAAAGATTTGAATCACCACTGAGTCTTACTCCTGAAATATTTCCTCTGTATTACTCACTGATATTATTGTAGAAGTATTTAATATCTTTTGTTCTCACATTTAAAATAATCCTTAGTTATAACTGGAAAGTAACAAACATGTTTAGTGAGTACACTTATTGTAAAATTTACAGTGTGCTCAAAAATTCATCTTGGATTATCTGTTGTTTAAGAAATAAAGCCCTTAGTGTCTATGTATACACAGTAACAGATTATGATTTTGTTAGCTATTGGACTGATGTGTGATCCTTTTGCATTGCGGTTTTCTTGGTAGCTAGACATGCTGACTTTCAGTCTTTGATTCATTCATCTTTGATTTCAGTGGGATTCATTTCAGAGAATGCTGTGATGAAAGCCAAATGCAGAGGCTGGAAGCACGAACCAATTGTATTGCCTTGTAAAAGTACCAAAATAGGATACAATTTTTTTTTTTTTTTTAATCTAAACTTTAAAATAATTTGCAGTTGCATTTTTAAACTCCATTAAAAAGAAATAGGTAAAAACATTTTTTTTGACTTAGCATTTTGATCTTTATGCTCTCGATATAACTGATTCAGTTTAAATTAAATGAAAGAGTAAATCTAAGTTGTTCTGCAAAGAAAATTAATTAATTTTAGAAATCAGATATTGATAAAGTAACACAACTAAGAGGAAGCCTTGGAAAAAGAAGAAAGTATAAAGAAGTGTCTGGTATTTTCCCAAGTAAAGAACATAGTCTTCTGGAAAAGTTTACTCAAAAGAAATGGCTTAGAGGAATGAAGAGGAACAAACTGAATCACAGCGAACAAGAGGTCATTCTTGAAGTGAACATTTTCAGAAAGCATTGAGAGTTAAGGATTACTGGTGATAGCAAAATCAAGTGTTCTGGCTGGGTAATAAGAGTACTCTACCTAAAGAAGCAAAGCTGATGGAGGAACAGAGAGAATATGTGAAGCAAGTAAGGAAATCCCGGATGAATGCATTTTATTTTTCATTAAGGATGATTGTTTGGGGATGAAGGCGGAACAGGAATGGAACAAAATGTATGAAAATAGATGTTACAGCAGTCAAAGTAGAAGTAAAATGCAGAAATAAATGTCCTTGAGTGGGAACATACTAAAGAAATTACTTCAAAGATAGGGTTAGCATAGAGACTGCTCTAGATCTGAGGTAAAGAATGAATCAGATAACTTTGAGGAGTGGATAACGTGGTTCAGAATTCAGCAGTACTAAACACAAGCCCAGTCATTTGAGAACTAATAACAAAAACTTCTCCCACAAGCTGAAAAACAAATGAGGAACAAAACATTCAGCACACACCACTTGGTGAAAGAGTAGCCAAGTTGCAAAGTGAGGCAAACATGCAAAAGAAAAGTACAGTACAGGAAGCATTAGTGAAGACATTGCCATCAGAAAGTCAGGAATTTTAAAATGATTTCATGAGATAATGTTTCATTGCATGTGAATGTAGCATGAGAAATCACCAGTATTTTCTTGTGTGGATAAAATGGCTTCCTGCTTAATATGGGCTCAAATTGCATTGATGCGCTAATAAAATAAGGGTTGAATCATCTGTGTTCCATGGAAAGGATTAGTTTGTCTCATTCATTGTAGTAAATGAAGACTGACAGCTGCTTATAAACATCAGAGAAAAGATAAGGAGAATGAAAAGACCTGCTTAAAATGAACAAATACGGTGGTACAGTGGTGATACAAATAGATATCTACTCATCATAACAAATTTAAACTCTGAGTTATCAATGTAGAACAACTTTCTGGAGTAGTCATTTTAGGACAGAGGCTGATCCATGCTGTATAGGAAGCACAGAATGAGGCCATGGTGGCTGGCTGAACTCTGTGCCACCTATCCGCACCTTTGACATCTTGGTTCCTTTTTCCTGTTGCATGGATCTAACTGGTGGACCAGGGATAGTGACCCCAGGCTACACATAGTCATTGTGCAGAATTACAAAGCTCCAGCAAGTGCTATTCCTGAGTACGCAAATAACAACATTTCTACTAAAGAACACAAGAATAGTTATGCTTGCACATGGGGACTAGCAGCTGGAGAGCTGCTCCTTCATATGAAAAGGAAAAAATAGGCCTGCAAGGAGGTCTTACTCCATCACCTGAACTGAGGATCTGACCAGCTCCAACCGTTTATAAACACAAGCTGGAAAACATAGGTCGTTGTGCCCTTGTGGGTTGTTCTCCTGCATAATCTTTGGTGTTTTGTTATACTGTTGGTTTTTGCAAAGGCAGGAGAAAAAAAGCGATGCTTAAATGCCTGGAATGTAGGATGCTACGGGGATTTAAACAAATCAAATAAATAAAACACTATTAAAATTCTCAGCTTATGCCACCATTTTTTAGCATAATACACTCATAATACCTTACAGTCTTAGTATGACTTTAATCACATGCAGCTTTGCTGAAGTCCCAAAGATGACGTTAGCTCTCTCCTTTGAGGGACCCTCTATACCAGGGATGCCAATAGAGGCTTGTGCTTTTTTGTGTAATCTCGTTCTTATTAACAGCCTGACAAAAGGACTTTGTGACACAGTACTATGCCTTCCTATGGCATTTACTGAGAGACACTTACGTTCTCAAGTTTAACAGATCCTTTTTATTACAACTGAAAATTGGTTGAAAGTCTGAATAGTTCATCTGAACACATGTTAGCAGAAGATTGTGTACCATTGCCTAAAAATGTGGCTCCCAGGAAGCTTCAGAAGACACTGTTTATCTGGCAGCTATCTCTATCATTGGGGTATATATTCATTATTCCTGTCTAGCAAGGGCAAGCAGTATGACTTTCAGCTTTCGCCAACACAGTTTGCATCTTGTTATCCGTAGATAAAATTAAAGGTATTGTAATATGCCACTCTGTATAGATTTTGTAAGTACAGAGCCAGAGTAATTAAAACAATTTTTAGAATTTCCTTTTCTTCCTCCGTATATTTTGCTCTTCATGAATTACAGTTATGTATCCCAGTTCAAGATCTTTTTTTTTTTTTTAAACAAAACTATTGGAACAGCAAGTGTGTGGATGAAGGCAGCTTAATAATATTGGAGATGAGCTTGCATTTAGTACAAGATGTACAAAACTGAAGCTGGTGTAAAAAAAAAAAAAAAAAAAAGAAAAAACATTTGATGTTTTATCTTTCTCTTGAATATCTAATTTAGAGCATGACAGCAGGGGGCATCTTAAGAACACAGGGAAAATGTGAAGGCACAGATGGAAGGAATGCAAGAGATACCAAGGAAGAGGATGATGGAAATGGAAGTGATGTGATAGTACTATCACCAGAAGGGAAAGTGAGATTGAAGAGGCAAGAAAAAAAAGGGAAAGAGTAAATAAAGTGATAATGCACACAACTGTGCTTATAGTTCCATTGTGCTCATTAAACAAGAAGGAATTCACATCTGAAGTTTTAACATTTTAATCATATTTCTCTTGTTAGTCCTTTTCATGTTTCCATTAACAAAGGTACATTAGAATGTGTTCATAATGAGATGTACAATCAATTTTGTTTAGTAATTAACTGAAAAAATAGTTCAGGATGATTTCCAGAGTTACTGTAAATTCACTGCAAGTCATCTCCTCTCCAGGAACAGTTAACCTCACTGGAGAGCTGGATACGTGCCTTGAGAATGGAATACTCCTCCTCCTGAGACAGTGTTTGTTTTTACTCAGTTACTCAACCCAAAGAGAATTTTCACACAAAGCAGTTTACAAGGATGAATCCCAAGTTCTTCATTAACCTTAGAGATTCTTGAGCTATTTATTTCAAACCATTAATTCATCAGAACTACACTTTTCCCTAGTTTATGAATTACTTGTGAGACACTTCAGACCTGTTCTGGTTTTTGTTATTCTCCAGTAATCAATTGATAGATTTTGGAGACATCGTTTGCTACGGCTTTCCTTATTGTTTTGCTTTATTGAACAGCTTAGTTACATGGATTATCTCTTTTACCCACTTAGACTGGAGAACAGAGCAAAGAAGAAACTATAACGGTGGCTAAAGAAGGGTAAATTACCTGGAGAAATTGGAAAGGCACTGTTGTCTGCAGGGGGGGAAGCACATCATGCAAGCAATGGAGCAGAGGCCTGTGAGGGACGCTGCTGCAAGCTAACAGAGCCCAGCTCCCTCAGACTTTCTTCGTAGGAGAGGTGCTCCAGCCCTCTGAGCATCCTTGTTGCCCTCCTCTGTACCTGTTCCAACAGCTCTGCATCTTTCCTGTGCTGGGGACCCCTGACATGGACGCAGTTCTCCAGATGGGGCCTCACAAGGGTCGAGAAGAGGGGAACAGTCACCTCCATCTCCCTGCTGGCCACATCTCTGTTGATACAACCCAGAATACTATTGGCCTTCTGGGCTACAAGCAAAGCAAGTGCTATTAAACATTGCCTTTCTACTTTCAAATATCTGCAATAAATGCAAAGTTTGTTAAGTTAATCAGTTTGTTGACTTCCTTAGTACATTGATGAACGTACTGCAATCAGTAATAACAAAAAGCCAAAAATTTCATTATCCTTTGTGAATTATTCATTCAACTGCACCTCTTAAGATTCCGTGATTTAATAATTCAAGTTTCCTGAGCAGAAATTACCAATTGCTTTGTGATATGGTAACACTATTGTAAAGAACACAAGCTGTATCTCGCAATTTGAATTTGGCCCTCAAGAATGAAAGGCCAGAACATCAGTCTAACTTGTTTTTGTTCCCAGAGTTTTTTGGTTGGTTTTGTGTTTTTTTTTTTTTTTTTTTTTTTGGTAGTCTTCTTAATAGCTGAGAAAAATCTATTTAAGGGAGCATCAAAAATCTTTATGGGAATGCTATTGCTATGAGTTATCTGTCTTTTCAATTAAAAAGCACCAGGCATGCACAAGTGTGGAAGAGAACAGTGCAGATACCAAAAAGGAACGTGAGCAGTAGAGTAGAGATTGAGAGAGAGTTGAATTTCTTTCTACTATTTTGAGTTTGGAGAGAAAGGGTAGGTTTTAAAATGTGTTCTTCAAGAGGACTTGCCTAAGATATTTGATCCAAGCAAGAATTTCTTTGGGAGTAGGTGTGGCCCCAATGTAAGTAAAGTTTCCATTAGGTATAAAATGGGGATTGTTGTTAAATCATGTTATGAAAAATGAAGTGAATTTAGGTTAAATCATTTGCATAGCTGAATTTTATCAGAAGTTCTAATTATTCACCTAACCAACAATAATAATTCTTACAATGCATTCACAAAACCTATACTAAAACTTCTTTAAGGAGGTGACATAATATTAAATAATACATATGCATTTCTGAGCCCCAGGAGATATTAAGAGAAGTAAGGAGTAGCTGAAAAATGAATCGCCAGTCATGCCATGCAGTATAAATGGGTTATATTTCGACATAATTTTGTGTTCCCTTATTTTTGTGTTAGCAAAACCTGGTTTTATGGTTTGTAGAAGAAATACTGTGTGAATTCTAGATACCTTTCAATTCCTGCATTAAATAAAAAGAAAGCTGTTTTTACAAAACACTACAAAAATGTTGTTTACAAGAGCATTTTTCTATCATACCATGAAAAGAAAGAATTCTATTTATCACATAAGTAAAATAAGAAAACAATCAATGTATATAAAAAAAAGAATAAAAGCAATATAAAAGGCTCCATCTGATGGACTTTTGCTGTTTATTTCCACTATTGGAGGGTCCATCTCCTTATAGCACGATTATGGTACGCAGCAAGGAATAAAAGAAGCATCCTTCATCAAGGATAAGAAAACATTTAAGATGCCAGTCAATTATTTTCTTTCTTAGAAGGGATGTGATCTATTAGATACGGCCTAAACAGCAGCTAGCTGTGGATTATAGCAATATGTATCCTTAGAGAGTTTCTGCTGACATGGTAGACTGCCAGAGCAAAGTTTATAGAAACAGTAATCCATGCATTATTAATTTTGAATCTTCACTTTGCAGAAGTTTACCCTTTTTGCAATGATAATTGTCACTGTATCTTTGGTGTGTTGTTTCTAGAAGTCTCTCTTCATGCTGCAGTCCAGGACAGAAAAGTGGGATGCTACATAGAAATGCCTTTCGGAGGACTCCTCCCTTACCTCGGGGTAGGTTCAATGGGATTACAGGACCAGCATATCAACAGCTAGAAGAGTCCAGGATCACAGAGCAGGACACAATACCTTGTCATGGGTAAGTAATGAAATATCCACAGCAGGCCAGCACTGCTTGGAGAAGTAGTTCTACGTAATGTTTGCACAGCACTTCTTTCTTCTGTCAGCACTGGACAAATAAGAGGAAATAATTCAGAAGTCCAGCTTTCATATTTTTTAATGCAGTCTTTGTAGATTGCATGTTTGCTGTAGATTGAAAACTGTAACCCGGTTCATGTGAGTTTGTCTTTGAACACATACAAAGAACCTGATATTTTTCATCTTCTAATTCACTTCCAGCTGTACATAAGGTCTGAATTTCAGAAGAGCTCCCAAGCACCTAGAGCAGCCTTTGAAGTCTTTTGCAATTGCCGAGTTTTTTTGCATAATATTTACATATCCCTATAGATTTCCAGAGGCTTCCCAGAATCGCTGCAAACACACTACATGTAACACCGGGAGGAATACCTGTAGGGTTGCTCTGGTCTCATTTAAAGATGCCTGAGTCCCAGCTTAGCAGAGACTGAAGCAGGCATGCATCAGTCCACAGCCAGGCATCCCAGGAGGGAATGTGACTTTGCTCTCTAGGTCTCTTGTAGCTGAATCTGCCTAATGAAGCTGACTAGAGTAGTTAGGGAGGCAGACTGCGAGTGGGGTTTGCCTGGGACAGGAGAGAACAAAGCATAAAGAAAGTCAACTTTCTGTAGGCCTCTGTTCAAAGGTTCAGGTTTGTCTCATGCTTCTTTTGTTGATGCAGTTTGCTTCTTCTGGGGAGGAACCTGTTTGTTATTTCTTACAGTCAGGATACTGTTGTTCATTCCTATGATAATGTAGACCTTAAGAAAGTTGTGACAAAATGGTAGTTTTGTATCGGGGAGAATGCTGCTTCCCTGCCACGTGGCAGTGCTTAGAAACACAGGCGTGGAAGAAAGCTGCAGCCTCTTTATCTTGAGAAGCGAGGTAGAAAACACAGCAAGGCTGTGTGGCTAGCTGTATTTGCTCTCCTCTAGGAAATCAGTATGTGATATTACAATTATCATCTTGTATTGGTCTGTATCTGGCCTGTTGACATTCTTCAAAAGGTTGATTTTTTTTCACCGTGCTGCAACCCCTCTGGCCTCAGTCCCTAAAGCACTTCATCCTTATTTTCTGTACTATCCATGTCTGTACCACTCGACTTGCTTCATTCTGCCTCTGTCAGTGGTACATCCTCAGAAAGAGGCCTGCAAACACACTGGCAAGTGCTGTTATGTTGAAGTACCAGCAGCAGTGTCACACATGTGATATCAGCATCCTTAAGCCAGTCCCCATGAGAAGGAATTACAACCATGTGAACACGAGGCATGAAAATTATAGCAACTCTTTGATCATATACATAGTATATATATATAAGGTAGTATATTTTTATGAAAACGTAGTCTTTACAGAATGTAACAAAGCTTTTTACAAGGAATGCAGTAATGAAGTACTGTAACTAAACTAAAATATAACTATAGCAACTAAAATTCAAGTGCACATCTGATCTCCAAACCGAAGTACAGAGAAAATGTTCTAATTCTACTGCAAGTGGAAGTCTTCTAACCAGGAACCCCTTTTCCCCAAATCTTTCTCTTACCATCTGTTTGAGATTTTTGGCGCTCTCAGTGGATATCAGCCTAACTGGAAGGTCCTTAGAGAAGTTGGGGTTCTTTTGCTGCTGCAGGAAAACACCAGCTCTCAATATTTGCAATTCAGGCCTTTGTAGACTTCAAGTCAAGTACGACTGGTTCATCAGTCTGCTACTCAGAGTAGCAGAAAGACCTTCCTGAAATGAAGGGCATGAAGTAAACAAATACCTCCATGGCAGTCACATCTCAGAGTCCAATGAGCATTTTGGGGTGTCATGGGCATGCATGCAAAGAGAAGAACGGTACTTTGGTCCCACAGTGACAGCTGTTTGCATTGCTTGGTATTAGCTGCTAGAGGCAGTACCTTATATCTGCAAATGCATATTTATACAGATACAGATGTGTTTGCAGACCCCCAGCATGTCATATATTTAGGTAGACACATAGGTAAGTATGCATGCTTCCAAGGCTGAGCTGAAGCCTGCTGATGTCATTGTAGAGACTCTCATTCATCTTAATGGACTTGGCCATCAAGTTCCTACAGTGAACATCTACAGCAATTGGGCTTATAGCAAAGCTCTTTGTGCTACGCTGAATGAAGCTCATTTTGTATTTTAAGTCATAAGTCCTGCCTGTCTTGCTTTAATATCTGTTTTAAGGGACAGCGTAATTATGCTTCATTCAGTTTCATTCACTGACACAGACTCTTGAAAACTGTGTAACAGGTGGTTGCTGTTGCAGATTTATGAATGTTTGTGGGCTTTTATACTTGATTTCAGTAGAAGATTGGGCAGAGCTGCACTTTGAAGTACATGCACAATTTAATTTATTCAGACAAAATTATTTTTTCAGATGAAAATAATACAAATACCTTTCTTAAGGGACATTCTAGTTCTGGGAAACAATTACAGGAAACAATTATTATTATTCTGCACTTAGAGGTGCTTATTGACTGAAATCTCATTCTGTTGTAACCAGCAACAGTTTGGCATCAGAAGTAGAAGCAGGGATTTGTTTGTAGTGAACTAAAAGCCAGCTCTCACATGGCTCTGAAGTCGTATCCCTGCTAGTTCAGTACATTGCCTGTTACACACAGTACATGTGCTTTAATTCAACTTAGTCTTTCTTTGAAAGCTGTGTAAACACAGGGCAGAAACATGTACTTCTGGCATAAAATGGTTGTGTTCAACTGCACTTCAAAAAAAGAAACAAAAAACAAACAGCTATGGAAATATGCCAGGCATTGAGTTACATGTTATTGTTACTGCCAATTAGTTTTCAAAATACCAATAATTGAATCCCTTTTATGGAATTGGCAAATGTTACTGTTATCTCACTAAACTCATTGGATAATTCCATCTTTTTTTTGTTTTGCTCATATATCATCCATATAATACAGCCATTGCATGTGAAATTCATTAAAAACATTCACTCCCTTTGTTTTCAGGGTGCAACCCAGAATATATGTAGGGCCTGAATTACCAAAAAGGGGAATAATGCAGCTGATGAGATCCCTCCAGCTATAGTCGTTTGAACAATTATATAATAAGCAAATGCAAAGGAAACAAGAATGGGCACAACAGGTCTGCACTCTTTTGTTTTCCTTTATTATTAATTTATTTTCAGTTGTCCTCCCTCTGGAATAATTTAGCTAATCAGTTTTGCATTATACTGATTCTCAAAAACTGCTCAAAAAAGGCCTTCAGTAGATGGCCAGTGTGTCTAAGCACAGAACAAAAGTAATTAACCAAAAGCCGACCCTTCCTGATTCAGAGTAAAGTGTAAAAGCAGCTGCATAGCTTGTGCAAGAAATGCTGTTTCATATTCCTAAAAGCCACTTGCTTTATTGTTCCCCTGGGTCCCACTTCCCAAAGCAGTATCTTATTCCATCAGATAGCAGCAAAGCTCACAGTGCCTCTTCCTTATTGCAGAGCTCCCAGCTGTGCTTTGTAGTCTTCTGGGAGTGCTGCTGCAGAGTTTCAGTGTAGCAACGCACAGTGCTGCATGTGTGCATGTGTCCAGGTTCACATCAAGCAGTTATGAAACACAGCCACCATAGATGAGATAGCTACAAGTCAGCAGCGCTCTCCTGGAAATGAGCCTAGAGATATTTTCTCCTCTTTTGTCTGTCTGACAGCTCACCAGGAAGCTGGGGCCAAACGAAATCTGTCCACTTAATTAGCTTTGTATGCTTTTATTAGGCTACGGCTGTTTTGAACACTTTAATTGCTGTTCCCAAGTTCTCTTTCTGTTAATGTCAGAAGAAGCAAGGCACATGTAGATAGAATACCCCGGGGCAAGTCCAGTAGGTTTAAGCAGCTTTCAGAAAATATCCTTCCTGTCTGAGCTCAGACATTTCCTCTGTACCAGATGTAGATATCACTTTTCATGATCAACAGTAAAACATGTTAGATTTCTCATTGGCTTGCCCCATCACATAGTGATAAGAACACAAAGCTGACGATGCATAAAATATTGATGAAGCATGGAGGTGATGCCTATGGTTCTTGGTAATCACAAGTAGTAGAAATACTGCATTTCTAATAATACTTCAGGAATGGGAAACATCTTCTTGAGCATTGTTTCCTTTATATTTAGTATATTTTCCATTTCTGGTTTTTAAATATATCAGTGCAAACATTTTCTGGTATGAGTAATGAATTTGGCTTTGAATCAAAATGGGAATGTTGATAAAAAATTCAGTGAAGTTGCCTCACAATAAAAGAAATCATGCTATAATATACGTAAGTGGAGGATAAAGGATTTTTCTTGTAGAATAGGTGAATAACATTTTCATGAGCACAAGACATTATTTCCAGATGAGGTCTTAAGAAACCAAATCATGTCAGCATTGGATGATTACAAAAAATGATATGTTTGTCAGAGTTACAGTGCACGTAGACACTGCATATTTGAAAGGGGGCACAGATGATTGTTTCCATGCAATTAAAGAATATAATTTTGTTTCAATTTCTCTTCTTCAGTGTTTTCCTGGAATAACGATTTGATATCGAGAGTTCTGATGTTCAAGAAAACATCAATCCATTTCTCCGGTTAGAAATGAAAGACTGAGATTTTGAATTTGACTTATAGGAAGGGAAAAAAAAAAAAAAAAAAAAAAAAGATTTGAAGAATCTTTTGATTTGGAAGGCTCTGAGCAGCCTTAAGGGCTGTGGAGTCCAACTCCCCCGCAGTGAGCAGGGACATCTACAAGCTCCATTTGCTTGCTGGGAGCCTGATCCAGCCTCATCTTGAATGTCTCCAGGGCTTCCACCACCTCTCTGGGCAACCCATGCTAGTGCTTCACCACCCATACTGTAAAAACCTTCCTTGTATGCAGTACATTGTAACTCCTGAAAGCGTATAAAAATTTATTGTTATTATTCTCATGTACTGGTGGGGAAAATGGGACAGAGGGAAAAGCAGTGGCAATAAAACCCAGATTTCCAGAGCCTGCTGTTTTCCCCTGGGCCACAATAGCTCTAAGTGCTCTGAGTGTGACTCGAAACAGCCATGTATCCTTTCAGCACAGCTCTCTGACTCTCATACAACATTCCTTCCACTGGTCACATCTGGCTGCTCAGTTTGCAACAAAAAATCTTTCTTATTCCTTTCAGGTATTCATCTAGTGGTTTAAAAACTTCTCAGAATACTTCAATAAATATGCAACTGCCTTCAAGAGAGACAACCCCTTATTTTAATAACGTGGATCAGAAGGACTTGGTCGGATACTCATCTTCAAGGGCCAACTCAGTTCCCATCATCCCATCTGTGGGCTTGGACGAAGCCTGCATGCAAATGCAAAATGTTTCTGAAGTAACAGGCATCAAATGGTGCAAAAACTCCTATTCAGCTGAACTTGTCAATGTGAGTTCCCCTGTCAGTAATTGTCTTATAGCAGAACAACATGAAGTGAAAATATTGCTAGAAACTGTGCAGGAGCAGATTCGGATTCTGACTGATGCGAGGAGGTCGGAGGACTTCGAACTGACGAGCGTAGACGCGGAGAGCAGCGCGAGCGAGAACACCGCGTTCCTGCCTATGAGCCCTGTGGCCAAGGCAGATCGAGAGGCACAATTTGTCTTAAAAGGTGAAACACAAAGAGACTCAGTGTTGACCAAGTGACTTTGTGTGGGGGTCGCAGGAGGGGGAATAACAGATCTGTGCATTCGATGCTTTGCTAAACAGGAAAGGAGGAAATTAAATACAAATTATTTATATGCATTAATTTAAGAGCATCTACTTAGAAGAAACCAAATAGTCAATCGCCCTCATATCATAGTGTTTTTTAACAAAATATTTTTTTAAAGGAAAGAAACGCTCCGGGAGGGATAAGGCGTACATCAGGTGCTTTCTAGGCAGGATTATACATACAGTTTCAGTTCTAGAGTATTTTAACACTGTCCTGTTTGGCTGTCAGGAGGCTTAGGCTATGCATCCTATTTTCAATAAAGGCCAAGACCGTTCTAAGAACCATTCTTGGTTTCAGGGCAGCGCTGCAGTGAATGCTGGCCAGGGGTGCAAGTTCCAAAACCCTAGCACAGACCCGGTCCCCCCTGCTCTCAGTTCTAGGTTCATACTGACGGAGGAGACACACAAACATCCAATTCTTGGCACTAACTGTGTAATGACCGTAAATCCTTAATTGAGCCAGATGCTTGACTCTCTACCTTACATGAGTGTGTCAGTCAGCGTGAGAAGTTCAGTGGAAACTTTTAGGAGCTTTGGGTCAGGCCAAGCCTGGAGAGGGGTTGGGGCCTGTGGAGGTGCAGTGGCCCTGTGGCTGCTCCATCTTCTGAGTTTTGTCTAAAAGAGCTTCTTGGTTGGAAGAAGAAAAAGAAGAACAGAAACTCAAAGTGCAGAAGCACGCACCATGGCAGGTTAGGGTTGGTTTAGTTTTTAAGAGTGGGAATGTAAACTCTGCTGTTCTTTACCGATCCATAAACATTTCTAAACTGTTAAACTTTGAAGGCATTTGTACGCTCTCAAGGAGCACTTCTGAGTGTATGTGTGTTTTTTTTAACTTATTTTTATTATGGGTTATTCAGAAATGAGTCTGGGAGATCCAACGCGATCTGAGGCCAGCCAATAGGTGTCCATACTGTCCTCATTTGATTCCGCTCTCAGTTCTCTGGTCACTTCAATGAATCATGGCTTTGGCTTGTGAACTACAAAGCTCCAACCCTGCAGATAGCTCAGGATGGGCATACCCAGGAGCATGCACGCAGCTGATTCTGCTGGGGCTGTACGTGAACAGGCGGTTCCAGCAAATCAATCCCTGCTGCCTTAGAGAAGGCCTTAGAGAAGAAATGTCAGTTCCTGATTACTGTATCCCAATCATATTATAGGCTTTTTTTTTTTTTTTCATTTGCTTTCTTTTGAGTCCCTCTTCCTCCCAATAAATTGTAACATAATATGCCAATAATGCAACGATTTGGGTTCAGTGGCTCACATGTTACTGTTTTCATTGTTATTAAAATATCTGCTTATTTGTGGGGAAAAAGAATATAAACTATGATAAATAATTACCAAATAGCCTTCCCTGATAATGTCAGAAGATTGATTTAAAAAATTACCATATATACAGAATGTATTAAAATATTATTTGCAGCAAACTAATTGTTCAACTTATTAGATGTGCCCCAGACTTTCCAGTTCACAAGTCTCAGGACTTCCCAAAATAGCACAGTCGGTCACACAGTGCTGTTGTATGTTTAGTCAGAATAAAGCAATATTTTAACCTCTGTCAAGTAAATTTGAAAAAGAAAATGCTGAAAATGTATGTCATTTATTTTGTGCCTAGCTGAGGCATTAAAAAAAATCCTCTTCACAAATCTTTATTCATCAAGTCTTACTTTGGTTTTCTTGTCTTTTTTCTTTTAATTTTTTGGGATTTTTGATTTTTACTTTTGTTTGTGTGTGTGTGTGTTGTTTTGGCTCTTTTTTTTTTTTTTTTTTTTTTTGTTTAAGATGATGAAATTGTCTTGTTTACAGAACTTTCTATGGCTGTAATCTTTGCTGTGTGTTTTCAATAAAAGTCTATTTGAGGGCAAATTATGCTTTATGCCCAGGATGGAGCATGCCTCATTCAGACTCCTTTCTAAAAAGCTGTAGAGCTCTTCTCATAACAGGAGGATTAAGCTGTAGGCTGGGATCCCCACAAGGAGTGGTCCTTCCATGTCTTGTTTCTGCACTACGCAGTGGCTGTGCACAGTCTCACTGGGCTGAGCTGCCTGTACTGGCATGGCACAAAACCCGCACCAGACAAACCTCTGGAAGATGAACCGTGTGCTAAGTGGGGCTCAGCTTCACCTCAGCTCAGTTGTGTGACTTTTCTGTTAATAGCATTTGTATCCTGCCAGCTCAGGACATAAGCCAAGTGAGCGTGCATCTACCCATAAGTGAACACACCTGTAATTTAAAAAATGGCTTCTACATAAAGCTCTGATTCAATAATTTGTGAAGCATGCTCACAACTGTTTGTTAATTAATTGTTAATTAATTTTGTTGAGAAATGGTATCTGCAGTAAAATGCAAAATCTTTCACAAACTGCTCTGTCAACACCAAATCTTTTCAATCCAGCTGTAAGGCCTACTTGCCCCCAAATCCTACCAAACTGTGCAAACTCTCTTCTGGTGATGTATTGGAAACACACTGCAGGATTTCTGTTGAAGAAAGAACTATAATCATAATATAATCATAAGCAATGCCTTTAATGAGAGAATGTGTTCACTGAACACCCCCAAAAGACCCAGAAAAAGGGCAAGAGCAATGTACTTTAATACAATGAAATGTTTGACTGAATGGTTGATGGAGATCTGAAATGGTGAGGATACCTTCAGTTCATGTTAGAGATACGATCTTGTATTCAGCAAAGGATGTGTGACTGTTATATGTTAACTGTTCTATTCAGTTTTCAGCATGTTTGAATAGAGAGACATTAATATTAACCATATGACAGACTAGTGTATTATTTGTTAAGAGTTAACACTTCAGATCCTATTGAAACTGTCATTGTTTACAGAGGAAAAGAAAATGATTTTCAAACATTGAAACAGATGAACTTAAAGTGATTTGTGTGTTTCTCTAATGCAGTTATTTTCCCCCGTGGACCCTCCTATTTTACAGTGAATGGGACAGCATTTTCTCTGAGGTCTCACAATTAGGTATGTAGAGGACACAAAAGATCCCATAAAGTTGCACTGAGCCCGCTGAAATGGTAGGCCAAATTTTGCTTTGTTTCTGAATCTAATGATCCCATTGAACTCAGTGGATCAGAAGGGATCTGTCAGTGTGCAAACATAGTTTCTTCCTAAAATGGCATCTATTCTTGCCCTTGGAAAGAGACTGAAATCTCCTTAAAAGAGGCTCTGAACTCTGAACCTGTAACATAATTAAAATTAACACCAGACCTATGAAGTTTGAGTGTTATCTGGTATGAATATTCACACGCAATGTACTACGCTCAAGTAAACTGAGATAACAGCTGGTTAGATGAAGCTGAACTTTCTCTGAGCTTAAAGGAGAAACTGCATCTCTTCAGCATAATGTTGTGGAGCAGAATTGGGAGTGCAATACATATCCCTTTTGTTCTTGTGGTTTTTTTTCATTTTGTTTCTGAATAGAATTTCAGCCCAAACAACCCCAAAAAACAGTAGAATGTTCCCAATATTTGAAGTAGGATATGTGGGTGAGTATGGGCACATCTCATGGTGTTAGCCACTAAAAAACTTCATCCACTATCTAAAGCTGGAAGTTAATTCTTGAAGGATGATGTTTCAATGAACAAACATTCCAGTGAAGAAAGACCTTTTCAACATGCTTTTGGCATCTAGTCACCTGCCAGGCTCTCAGCTGATGTTCTCAGTGCAATAATGATATACTAACAGAGGATCACATCTTGAATCTTTTCTACTCTATATCCAATAGAGTGTCACAAATGTTAGTAGTCTATTGCAAGATGTAAGGGCCACTACACTGACATATGGAGCTATCTTTATTCTGCTTATGAAAATTATGCTCTTAGCAGTATGCAAAGCCCTGTCTAGAATACGGTGTGAGGTTCGTTAGATGAGTGCTTGTGTGCCAGGTCCATCCTTTTACAAGAGCTGAGTATCACTGACTGGGCTCCAAAAGCAGTTAGCTTAGCACCGCTTAAAGGTGGCTGATTCAAATATTATTCATCAAAATCTTCTGAAGCTTCTTGTTTACGTTTTATAAAAACAGTGAGACTATGGCAGGTGCTAACACGTACCTGCTCATGAATCAAAATGTTCAAACAGATGGTTTACGTCTATTTATCTTGTAGGGAGGGACAGAAGTTCCAATTCCTCTTTCCAATTCGTGCCCAGCTACCTTCAGCCTACTTATGGACATTACTTGAACTCTTATAACAAATTATGAGAATAAATACCAAAGAAGAACTCTGTCAGAGTACTAGCTGCAGCAAATGAAATTAAAGCTTGAAGGAGCAGACCCAGAATAATTTTTTTTTTTTTATTTTTTTATGACATAAATACACATTTCCTTTCAATGAAGTGTAGTTTCCCTGGAAACTTCTTTTCACTTGGGAAAACAATGAGTTTGTATGAATGATTTGTTATCTTGGCATTAATTTAAAATCTCAAGGAGATTGGGAAAAAGTAAATACTATAAAGTGCAACATAGTTCTGTATCTTGCTGAAAATATAAAAGGGTGCAGACTTTTTTTCCTTTTATACTGTATTGTTACTGTAAGTTGACAGTAAGATTATGATCCCTTTGTTCTGGAGTCTATTCACATGAATACAACCAGGATGCTCAGTTTTCAGGTTTTAGGTTTCTTAGCACTCCCAAATCACAATTATCAAACTGAATTTATTTTATGTAGCAAAGTTCATATATGAGATAAAAACTACGTAGCTATTTTAACTTCAGTCTTACTATGAGGGAGAAACAGCCATCCTCAGTGTATGCTGCACAGCGTAAAGATGCTTTCCTCGTAATGGTAAAATTCATATAAGCTGTGTATCTTTGGAACTGCTTAAAAAAAACAACTTCAATTTATTAATTGACCACGTTAGTAGTATTTGAGGAAAGGATAACTACCAGAAATTCCTAAACTTTTAGTAATTTTGTTTTCCATTAGAACCAATGTTTTGATTCATTGTTACCACTGCA